AGTTGAAGTTGTCGTCGTCGTAGTTGTTGTTGTTGAAGTTGTTGTTGAAGTCGAAGTTGTTGTCGTAGAAGTCGTTGTCGTTGTAGTTGTAGTTTCTGTAGTAGTTGTTGTAGTTGTCGTTGTCGTTGAGGTTGTTGTCGTAGTTGCTGTCGTCGATGTTGTCGTTGTCGTTGTTGTCGTAGTTGCTGATGTTGTTGTCGCTTACAAATAAAATATAGATACTTGTCGACAAATTTCTATATCAAGATCTACTTACAGGTTGTTGCTGTGGTCGTACTTGTAATAGTGTGTGATTGTAAAGCTAAAGTATTGAAAAAAAAGCTCATATATAAATATAATGCATTAGTGTTATATATGACTATGAGTATTTTCTTATCTCTCAAGATACACGTATTGATAGAAACTTTGTTACACTCCTACAAAACCTTTCGAGAAAAGCCGTCTGTAGTTGATTCATATCTTTTTTTAAGATAATAATTAGGAAAGAGAGAGTGGACATATGCATATTACTTGAATTTCTATCAAAATCTTCTTTATATCAGAGAGAGACTATTCTATGAATCAGTCTCGTTGTTGTTGGGTACGTAATTACCTAATAAGATGATAGCTGCAATCAGAGCTGCAAGAAGAATAGCAGCAATAAGGGCCGCAATGATAGCGCAACAACAGCATTGGGTGATTTTGAATATTCCACCTCTACATGATCAACAATATATCTTTGAATGAAAGATGTTTTATAGAGAATAGAATCTAACCTTCTACGTCTTTTTCTTTTTCGTTCTTCATTATCTTCGTTCACTTCATATATCTAAACAAGATGATGTCATATTGAATAATAGTTGAAAACAAGGTTAAGAAACTAACACGCAACGGTTCGACCCAGTTTTTGCGTGAAATCAATTGGAAACGTTCATTCGATGCCATCACATATATATCATCAGTCTATAAAATAGAATGCATACAAATTTCAATCACTTTTTTTTTGTACTGTGAATTCATTTTTGAGTAGATGTCTAATTTGAGTTCAAAAACGAATGGAAAAAATGCGGCATTCATATTAAAATAGCAAAAAAAGCAAAATAAAAAGTTTTATATAAATTATAAATTCATAAATGAAAGGGCCTACCCATGTAAAAATAGCAAAAAAAAGGAAAGAAAAACATTCTACCCAAATGATTATTATAATCACAATTTTACTTTGCACATTACGGTGTAAACAAAGACGAGCATGGGTTGCGGCTCTTCGGGAGGCGCTTTGCGTCCCTACGCCGCGACGCAGAAATAAAAGGTCAGTTACGCGAGAAAAACTTGTTTTTAGTGGATGAGTAACAACTATGCCCAACTACAAATGGCTCTAGTATTACTCGAAGAAAGGTAAATGCCAAAGTATACGCAATCGATTAGCATAATTTTGCTTGTCACATTTGTAGCTACAATATACTCTCGAGGGCTACACGAAAACGATTTCTAAAGAGTCTCCACTGGTGACTGAAACGTCTCAGATGTACCTTCTATCTTTCCGCGCGATATCCGTGGTATCTTAGATGACACTAGGAGCATTTCAGGTGATGGTTGTAGAATCTGAGATGATTCTAGTAGCATCTCAGGCGGTGCTTATAGTATCTCAGGAGTGTTATGAGTACTTCCAGCGATATTACTAGTATCACAGATAATGCTCCTAGAAAGTCAGGTGATGCTAGTAGCATCTCAGATAATGCTAGCAGCATCTCAGGTGATCATTCAGGCATTCCACATAACGCTAGTAGCAGTTTAGGCGATGTTGGTAACGTCTCAGATGACGCTAGCAGTCACGCAGGCGGTATTAGGAGCCCTTTAGGCGATGCTACTACCATCCCAGGTAATACTGGTGAGAACTCAGGTGTTGCTAGTAGCAAGTCAGATTTTGATAGCAGCATCTCAGGTGATGTTAATAGCACTTCAAGTGAGGACTGTGGCACCTGAATCATGTGGCCTCTCACTTATGAACTTATAATTTATATAAAAGTTTTTCTTTTACTTTTTTGCTGTTTTAACATGGGTGGGCCTTTTCATTTATAAATTTATAATTTATATAAAACTATTTCTTTTGCTTTTGTGTTATTTTAACATGGGTGCCGCTTTTTTTCCCATTTATTTTCGAAATAATTATGAACAGTTATGTCTCCATTTATATTCAAATTCGAATTAGGCAACTCATGCCATTTTTGTAGCAACATTCTTAAATAATTAGTAAAACTATTGTAATGAAGTTCATTACTTTGGTTGGTGTTGTTCGAAACATTGATGTGGAACTTGTATTATACAGGTCAAGAGAAGGATTCATTGAACCATCACTTGTTTCTTCAGTACTATTCTTTGATCGAAGAATTCTCTCGACATGGACTGTAGGACGAGACATTTTGTTTGGAGCATCAACCTTTAGAGGGTTCGTCTGTGACGTGTGGCTTGTATTGGATGGATCAGACGAAGGATTAATTGAATGATCACCCGTTTCTTCAGTACTACTCTTTGATCGAATAATTCTCTTGACATGAACTGTAGGACGAGACATTTTGCTTGGAGCATCAACCTTTAGAAGGTTCGTCTGTGATGTGTGGCTTGTATTGGATGGATCAGACGAAGGATTAATTGAATGATCACCCGTTTCTTCAGTATTATTCTCTGATCGCTTAATTCTATTGACGTGAACGGAAGGACGAGGAGTGCTGTTTGGAACATTAGTCTTTTCCTTTGTCACTATTGATTTGAGACTTGTGTTGTGCAGCTTGATAGAAGAATCAACTGACTGATTATTAATTCTTTTCGTATTACCTTGTACTCGAGTTACTTTTTGAACATGAACAATTGGATAACTGGTGCTTCTTGATCTATGACTCTGTGTAGTTGTTGTCATAGCACCGATTTGGGAGCGTCCTATGCTTTGAATATTGTTCAATGAATTACTGATGTGTTCGACGTGAATAGTTGAGTCATTTTTATTCAGTAAGTGAACAAATGATCGTTTTCGCTAAAATAATATTAATTTGATACTCTTATCTAATGGGCAAGAGTAAATACTCACTGAGAGTCGCTCTTTTGTAAGACGAACAATTGTTGGCTTGGATGTAACTGATGACATTGAAGCAAAATCGAGAAATAATGAATTTTCGCTTCTACATTGTTTTTATTTTAGTCAACTGCATCTATCGAATAATAAGATTTTTCTCGATGAGGCTTCAGCACATAATATAAATTGATTTGTTTCTATATCATACTTTATTGAAGAAAAAAACAGCACACACCATTGCCTGTTGATGCATCGAGAAAAGCAATCAAATGTGGAAACCTCATAATTACCTTTTCAGCTATCGCATCCTACAACAAGAGTTTGATCAACAGAATCAGGTAGTGTATAGACTGCTACCCTGTCAAGTGAATAACAAAATAATGGCTATTAAAACACATTTTTTTTCACTAAAAGAAACGGAAGATCTCCATTAAAATGCATTCGAATCGTGTACTGGACTATTTCTACCATTTTCTAACAACTAAGCTTTTTCTCCATCTGGATGTCTAAGCTGATTTAGTAAATGCCTATATTAGACACATATGTTAGTACGATTCAACACATGGTTGTCAAATGTTTATGTCTTAGAAAATATCAAGTAATCTTTCACAATTAACGAAATTAAATACAAGGAAACTAACAGATCATGAGGATGGCAAAGCCAACTATAGTCTAACCCATCATCTCTTTCTAAGCGTCAAGATGACCAATAATAAAGTCCGAAATCTGAAAAAATTGTGCTTCCTAAAACGTAAAAGCATTGAATATAGTTCTCCTTTGACATCGATTCTCAAATACTTAAGAGATGTTCTTATTTTCCAAACCAAATAGACTTGCATGTCTGGTGTGGGCAGTACTCTTGGACAGCTGTCTGTCGGTGAGAGCATGTGTATGTGGCCGACAAAGTGATACCGTTAAATTCGGTTAATATTACGAATGGCTTGAATATCAAGCCGGTTCTGAGATCGTCTGAAAAGATGAGAACTTTGTATTCAGATGAAGAAGTTCATCAGTCAGATTTTAGAACCAAGAATCGAATTTTTCTCTGTCAAATAGATTATAATCGATGACATTCAAACAGAATGATTTCTGGATGAATCAAAGTCCTTGCTAACCTTATCTCAAGATTGTTTTAACGAAATTGAAATTTGTTTTAATTATCAGTACAACCAAAGTATTTATCTAGTTCATGTTCTATCTCATCAGAGATATTCATTCGATCTATTGCTGTTCTGTTCTGTTCTGTTCTGTTCTGTAGATTAGAACAAATCTGATTATTGTATTCTTATTACTTAAAAAAAGTTTTTGTTGCGAAACAAATAATAATGTTACAGAAGTAAACAAAAGAAAAAAGGTACATAATTCAATTTGAATTCATTTCTTAGATGATTGCTTCAGTTTTAACATCGAAAGATTGAAGGTATCCAAGCATAGTATGAATGATGAAACTACTTTCTAGTAAATACATTTATTATTACCAACTAAGAAAAAAGTCAAATTCAAGCCTAAAGAGTTTGAATCCCTCTACATGTCACTTCACCAACAGGTATCTTATAAATCCTCAAAGCCAATTATACAATTATCAAATGCTGTTCCTAGTCATACAAGATTTCATGTCAATCTAACAAATCAAATCAAGCCTATTTTACTAATTACATGTCACCGAGATGAAGACTACCCAGGACGATGATTTCAGCCTTCGGATCCGGCCGGAACCAACAGAAACCAGGGCTATTTCCCGCTAATTCCGACAGGTTCCAGCTTATTTCCCCCGGGAACCGCCAGGAAAACATACGGAAGATGGAAGCAGTATTCCGGGTCGGAAAGTACCGTACCGGATCCTATCACTTCCGTGCAAATCCAGTGTCCCGAATTATCTTGGAAAATTACTATATCCGCATCTTACGGAAAGTTATCGTATCCTGCTTCCCAGGTGGAAGAATACGGCAAGGAATCGGCCGCTTCCGGTGCTTTCCGGAGATTTCATAGAAGCAGTATTCTAGATCGAGAAATCTCCGGATTTTTCCGATATTTTCCGACCCGGAGTACTGCTTCCATTTCTATCGATTTCCGGAGTTTTCCTGCCGGAACCGATGCCTTTCCTGCAGGTTCCTCGCTGGGAATTCACGGATCCGGACGCCGGAATCATCGTCCTGGGGTATTTTTCTGCAGGATACGGTGAATTTTCCCACATTTTTCCACGGGTTCCTGCAGGATCTGTTTTTCAGAATCATTTACCCGGGATCACATCTAGCCTGAACCACAGTGGAAACGGCTGGA